TGAATTTTATAAACTAAACGTTCACCAAAAAACTTTAGTGAGAAAAATCGAAAAAACGAACTACAAACATATTAACGCCAAACATTCGGTAGAATATATAGAATAATGTATATATATATATATATATATATATATATAATAATGTATAATAAGAATAATGTATATATATATATATATATGCAGTTATTAAATTGACTACAAGAGAAGTACTTCGCAAAGTACCTCGATGCAAGAGAGGTACCTCGCAAAGCATCAACAACTATCACACATTTTTGTAGACCTTGAAAAAGCATTTGATCGAGTTCCCCGTGAAGCAATCAGGTGGAGTCTGCGTCGACAACTCATTACAAAATATCTTGTTCTACTTGTGATGGAAATGTATACGATTACTAAGACTTTCGTCAGCACAACGGTTGGAAACACAGATGCATTTGACATCGACGTTGGACGATTCTCAGTCCACAGTCCACTGTTATTTATAACTGTGATGGGAGAAATCACAAAGCCGATACGCACTGGTGACATTTGGAATCTAATATATGCTGATGATATCGTTTTAACAGCCACGTCTGAGCAGAATGCAGCACAGATGTTTGAAGATTGGAACACCAGACTCGCCGATCATGGATTCAAAGTCAACATCAGCAAAACCAAAGCAATGAACACTGGTGAACCCATCCAATCCATAGCTACTGGACGATGGCCCTGTTCAGTTTGTAAAGCTGGTGTAGGTAACAATTCAATCAAGTGTCAGCAATGTAACCAGTGGTGTCACAAACGTTGTTCAAAAATAATTGGTACTTTATCTAAAGTGTCCAATTAAGTTTGTCCTGCTTGCATCAATCCACAACAACAAATTCGAAATAGCAATGTTTTTGAATGCTTTAAGGTAGAGAAAGTCACATCGTTTCAATATCTAGGGGATGTTCTGAATTGTACTGGAACAGCTGAAGCTGCCGTTCGAGTGCACATACGTGCAGTCTGGAATAAATGGCATCTCCTTGCCTCTATATTGATGCGGCGTGACATCCCACTACAACTACGATCAAGACTTTATAAATCTGTGATACGTCCGGTCTTGTTATATGGTGCAGAAACATGGCCAATGACAACCAAACTGGAGCAACAACTTCACCGAACCTATATGAAAATGCTCCGATGGATACAACGAATTAGTCTGAAGGACCACATCAAATCAACCGAAATCCTGCGTCGTTCTGGTTTAGATGATATAATGGACGAATGCCGGCAACACCGTCTGCGATGGTTTGGTCATGTCAAACGAAGTGGAAACAGTGCCATAACTTCTCTTGCAGATGTTGAAGTACCTTGCACACGTCGCAAAGGCCGTCCAAAGAAGTCCTGGTCGCAAACAATCGAACAAGAAATGAAAGTTCTAAATTTAAATGAAGTGGATACAACTGATCGTTTAATTTGGCGCAAAAAATTGATGGCAAAGAAAACAACGTCCTACCTCAAGGGAACTGGGTCTCTGGATGCTAAACGAAGATTGATTTATTAAATTGACTACAACTACATCTTTTCAGTGCAATTGTTGATGTTTTGGTACAGCGGACAAGGCCTGGCTACAGTTTTCCATCTAGTTGGCAGGAAATTATTTTTAAAAGATGAAAGTAAAATATGAAATAATGGAACTGCCAAACTTGATGCACTCATCTTCAGGAGGATGTTTGGAATACCATCTGGTCTTGTCTAGGGTCTGTTTTTAGTTTTTTTCAGATTACTTAACGCTATTTCAGTGAAACAAACATTTTATATTAGTTTTGTGGCGTGGTTAGATAGGGAACAGTTGCTGTTTTTATCGTTGGTGAACATCTGTGGAGACTATTTCGATATGTGAATATATGGATAGACTTTGTTTCACGGTCCCTTCGAACAAAACCAAAGCAAACTAACAGGGTCATTTGGAGTAGGTCAAGATTCAATAACAGGTAATATATCTCCGGTTCATAGACTGATAAAATTAAAATAAGTTCATCTCAAACATTGGTGAGGGCAAAACTAAGGTGCCCATAAGTTGTTTTGAAAAAAAGGTTGATCATTATTAAGTTGGTTGTTTGTTCTGATTAGGGATGCACCGAAGTTCGGCCCCGGCCAAAATCCGTCTTTTTTCAAATCCGGCCGGATTTGGTGGCCGGATTTAGGGCCGGATTTAAGCGTCTATCAACATTTAAAAATGTTATAAATAGAAAAATAATTTCATTGAATTCAATTAATTTTATGTCAATAAGTTAAAGACAAAGCTTACATGACACATAATAACAACATCACTAATTGTGAGGTGAGCTGGACAATTTTCTTTATGCTAAAACATGGGTTATGCATAAATTATAAGCTGAATGTGCACTTGTGCACGTGTATATACTATATAACTGTATATGACTTGTCATATTTTACATATATATTGTTATAACCGTGCTACCGAACGCACTAGATTCTAGCGTATTCTAGAATGTTCTAGTGACTGGAGCATTCTAGAGTATGCTAGAATAGGACCATCTAGAAGAATCTAGAAACGACGCTTGCGAAGAATATATAAGCGCACGTCGCAAGAAGATTAGCGAATAGTGAAATTCGTGATTTTGTAAATAGCGATTTGGTGAATTATTAAAAGCTATATTTGATTTGTTTGTTGACGTTGTCTTAGCGATAGATTTTGAACAATTTAAAAGTTAATTGTTGCGTTAATTTGAATTTGCTAAAAATAAACGATTAGTTGATTTCTTCTGTAAATAAAGTTTAATAACTAATAACTGTTTGGAGTATTTTATTCAATGGAAGTTTTGAACCCGTCGCGTCGTAAATCGGTTACGACAGCGAATATTGGTGTCAGAAATGGGATCTTCGACCAGCAAATTACTACTCATAGAAAAAGAACACGATGTCAAAACTGTGTGGTTTGAACGTAGTTCAGCTACGAGAAGAACTACAGAAACGAAGCCTTGTCACAAGTGGCAACAAAGAAGTACTAGTAGCACGTCTGAGAGAAGCTCTCATTGTCGAAGGTAAGAACCCAGACGAATTCAAGTTTGATAGTGCTGACGAAGACAATGAAATTAGCACAGGCACGTTTACAACCGCCAAAATGATGGAACTTCTGCTTAGTATGTCAACTGAAATGAAACAGATCAAAGAACAGTCCGAACGACAGAAAGAGGAGTTAAAACAGATCAAAGAACAGTCCGAACGACAGTCCGAACGACAGACAAAAGAGTTAAAACAACAGATCAAGGAACAGTCCGAACGACAGACAGAGGAGTTAAAACAGATCAAGGACCAGCTTAAACACGTAAAATTGGAAGTGGTAGAACAGATTGAAGAACAGTCAACAAGAATAGAAATGATCGAGCAGAAACTTGATCGTCAGACCGTTGAGGTAGATCACAAGATAGACAAATTGAAGCGAGAATTGGAGCAATCCAAAAAAGTGGCCATGCCGTTAGATCACGCATCCGGAAGAACTTTGAAGGTACCAGCATTTGACGGAGAGATGTCCTGGAACGTTTATAAAACCCAGTTCGAAGCAGCGGCAACTAGTAACTGCCTCTTCTGAAAATGAATTTTACCTCACCCGCACCCATTCCCTCACAAGTCTTCCCTCACCTGCACTCATTCCCTCACATGTTTTCCCTCACTCGCACTCATTCCCTCATAAATCCTCATTTTTCCGCACCCATCCCCTCAATAATTATATCATTATTAACAAAAACAATAAAGTATCCTTAGTCAGAGTATTATGTAGTACAATTTTTACTATAAAAATAAACAAAAATACTGGTTAATAACAGTTAGTGTTTCAGTAAATTGTTTGTAAATTTTATA